AAAGTATTTAAAACTTTTATATTGAATTAAATCTAAATATCAAATATTTTAAGTGAATTTGATTTAATTTAAATAAATAATCTCTACATTTTCATTCTTTTAAACATCTCTTTTAAATATTTTTGTTGCGTAAAGAACTTCATTTTTGTCCCTCACTTGCAAAGATATTGCAGCATCTATCTGAGCAAAAGCACTGAAAATAATCTGCACATATTTATGGTTGTGTAACTCAATAAAACTATATTAAACTGTTGTTAAAAATGAAAATCGCAGTAAATAAAACTGCAGAATTTGACCTCTGGGGTGATGCAAACCAAACTGCATTCAGGTTTATAATGGAAAAGGTAATAATCATAAGCATGATGCCCAATACAATGCCAGAATAGGAGAGGCAAATGTTTTCTCATCATTTTCACATTAGTGAGCTTTTAAATAATGCATCATGCTGGGACTTCATATAAGCTTGCAGTGAAATTCGGAGAAATTAGTCTTCGGTGCTGCAGGATGCTGATTATGAGAAAATTATATATTCTCATTACTATACCATAGGCTTTTTATATTTTTGTGATGATCAGCACATGAAAAAGAGTAAATGCTGTAAGAATGGACTGAGAATATAAAATGGGAACTTCATATGGTTTGTTAAAGGTGCCATAGAATGCATTGGTACAATGAATTAAATTGTACTCTGATTTCTGGTATGTGGTAAAAGGTATGCGGCTTGAGCAAGTGCAAAAAAAATCCCCAGAGGTGGTTTTACAACTCCGTGTTCACCCTAGTATTCGCCCTAATACGTGTTATGCTATTTGTTTGGTTTTGACCATGTTTGGAAGGGTCATGAATATTAACGAGCTTAACAAGATTTAGTTACATAGTTTGCTCGTTAGTTGTGTTGTAAATAAAATATAGTTATACTTGGCAAAAGATATGTAACTAGAGTTGTATTTTGTGAGTTTGATGTGTATAAAACACAGAACAGATGAGTTTTATTGCTTTTTTCACTACATAATCCAGTAAGAGTTGAGTGATATGAAAATGCATAAACATGCATTAGACACTAATATTAAGTAGTCTGCATACATTTATTGTGTCATTACAAACACATGCAAATAATTTTACAATATACACCATAAATTAACAATAGGTACATTTAATTTGTTGACATTATGTTGGATAAATTGTGAATCTGTATATCCTGCATTTTGTGTTCTGACAAGTTGTGGTCATGCATGGCTACCTGCTTTACAAAGCAACTCCTTTAAGGCTCGTACAAAGTGGAACGCTTTTCGTTTGTGTTTATTGTCAGCGTTTTTCGAGATATTTTTTCAGATTCAAACCCAAGCGATTTTCACTGGCGTCGAGCGGAAGAGTATACAAAATTACTCCTTGATAGGGATGTAACGGTATCAGAATTTCAGGGTACGATAATACCTCAATATGATTAATAATACGGTGCGGTATCTATTAAATAATTTACATGAAAAACAAAACTAATGAAAAGACTCAAAAAAAGTGCCAAAAGTGTTTATTTAACTTAGCACTGAACATATCAATGACATACAAATTAGCATAAGAAAGAAACCAAAATGCTTCCACACATACGATTTAAAACCCACTTTATGTTCGATCATTTCCAGCTCTTTTTCTTCCCCACTACTAGCAACACACTCCATTTCCGCATTACTGGATCTGTAGTGACAACAGACCGCAAAGGATGATGGCCACGCCTAGGCTGATGGGAATTGAAGTTCTCGCTACCTACCGTTCGCTTCATTCGCCTAAGCAAACTTTTCTCAGAAATATAGTTTTATTGAGTCATGCGCCTACTGTAATATTGAAAAAATTTACTATTGCGGTATGACGGTATTTACAATATTGTTACATCCCTACTCCTTGATGTTAGATGGCGCTACACAACTTTAAGCTTCTGACATCCACTTGTAACACAGAAGAAGACAGAAAGTTGACTCGCTTGTTATAGTTACTGGTGATTTGAACAAGCATGGATAGTTCAAGTAGCAGCTCCAGCTCTAGCGATGAAGAAAGGATTATTGTTCACCAGTGCATTAAGCAGCTCCACATTTATATCACCTCTGCGCATCTTCTTCAACGTGCGCTCGCATTGACAGTTTTGCCCTTGAGCACCTCCAAGTGCTGTTTACTGTAACTTCAGCAGCTCTGTGCTCGTGAACAAATGTGTCAATCTGATTGGTGGAGAAAAAAACAAAAACAAAAAACGAGCATGAGGCGTTTTTTTAAAAGATGACACTTTCTCGCCTGGTGTTTTGCGCATTGGTGTGCACATTGGTGCCCTTTATTTAGTCAAATAGTTAAACGTCGGTGGAAAATAGCAAAAATCGTCCCAGTGTGCACAGGCCTTTACTCTTCCTTGAAGCATGAGCTGCTTTCATAATAAAGAGTCCGACATACAGTACCTCCAGTATAGTGTTATGATGATATTGGAATTTCGATACCAGTCGGTATACGGAAATTTAAAAAAAGTATTTTTCCTACTTAACGTTCAGCAGTGAAGAGCGGTTAACTGATGACCCTCAGGGTCCATCATTCATTTCTGTTGAGCACGTGAACACAAGGGCAAATCAGTGGTGTTTAAGAAGCACTGAAATGTTAGCGGGAACTGGACATTTTTAAAATTTTAGTACTGATTGGAACCAAAATTACAGTATTGTGACAACACTACTACACAATATGTACTATAGTATGTGTATAATACAGACTTGGATACACTTAAAATAAGAAAAAAATCTATATAATTATTGTAATCTCACTAGGAAACGGTGTGCCCAATCAGATGCTGCCTGGGGCGTACATCTGGACCCTCAGATTCTGTGTCTCTTGTTCTGATTAGCCTGTACACTTACACTTCTGCGATTTACTTGAGAACAAGGAAATAACAGTGTTTAAGGTTCATGGGATTGAATTCGTATTATTCAAATGTACCCAGATTTTTATTCTATTGCACCTTTAAGTACATACAGAAATATTAACTGCGTATAGTTTGTGTGGTTGAGAAGGTTAGTCAGAGCAGGTGGTGAATATGTGAGCATGAATGACAGTATACTGTGAGTCAGTGTTTCAGATGAGAGCAGTATTGAGCAGGTGGTTGGACCACCTAATGACAAACCCCATGACATCCACAAGACTTCTCCTTTCTTTATCACACACGCACGCACGCACACACACACGCACACACACACGCACACACACACACACACACACACACACACACACACACACCTATGGACATGTCTCATATAGTCAAGACTTTTGCTTATAGCATCTACTCACAGGGTTGGAAGAAGCACTTAAAGCAAATATCCTGGAAAAAAACCACAACCATTTTAATCGGTTCTTGCAGTTTTCTAGTTTCTTAAATGGTTTCTTAAACCAGATCATCTGGTACCAACACTGATGCCACATTTAAAGTCCCCTAATTCACCCTTCACATGGCAGCAACTAGCAGCATTTAGGAATGCAGACATGGTCAAGACAATCTGCTGCAGTTCAAACTGAGCACCAGAATGGGGAAGAAAGGTGATTTAAGTGACTTTGAACGTGGCATGATTATTGGTACCAGACAGGCTGGTCTGAGTATTTCAGAAACTGCTGATCTACTAGGATTTTCACGCACAGCCATCTCTAGGATTTACAGGGAATGGTCTGAAAAAGAAAATATCCAATGTATGGCAGTTCTGTGGGTGCAAATGTCTTGTTGATGCCAGAGTTCGGGGGAGAATGGCCAGACTGGTTCGAGCTGCTAGAAAGGCATCAGTAACACAAATGACCACTTGTTACAACTGAGGTATGCAAAAGAGCATCTCTGAACGCACAACACGTCCAACCTTGAGGCACATGGGTTACAGCAGCAGAAGAGCACACCGGGTGCCACTCCTGTCAGCTAAAAACAGGAAACTGAGGCTACAATTTGCACAGGCTCACCAAAATTGGACAATAGAAGATTGGAAAAATGTTTTCTGGTCTGATGAGTCTCGACTTCTGCTGCAACATTTGGATGGTAGGGTCCGAATTTGGCATCAACAGCATGAAAGCATGGATTCATTCTGCCTTGCATCAATGGTTCAAGCTGGTGGTGGTGGTGTAATGGTGTTGGGATATTTTCTTGGCACACTTTGGACCCATTAGTACCAATTGTGCATCGTGTCAACACCACAGCCTACCTACTGTAAGTACTGTTGCTGACCATGACTATCCCTTTATGACCACACTGTACCCATCTTCTGATGGCTACTTCCAGCAGGATAATGCGCCATGTCATAAAGTATGAATCCTCTCAAACTAGTTTCTAGAACATGACAATGAGTTCACTGTACTCAAAGGGCCTCCACAGTCACCAGACAGAACAGGAGATTTGCAACATGGATGTGCAGCCGACAAATCTCCAGCAACTGCATGATGCTATCACGTCAATATAAACCAAAACCTCTGTGGAATATTTCCAGTACCTTGTTGGATAGATGCCAAGAAGGATTAGGGAAAAAATGGGGTCCAACCCGGTAAGTGCATATCAAAATTCCCTTTTGATTCCCTTCATATTATAAGAGTTGGTAGGATTTTTTATTTCATTTTTTAAATATATATGTGAGTAAAAAAGTTAGATATAATTATATATATTTACTACGTTTTGAAAAATCAAATACGCTTACCAAGGATGCATTTGGTCAAAACTACAATAAAAAACAGTATAATTGTAGCATACAGTAAAATTATAATTATATTACTATATAATATTTATAATTAAAACAAAACAAATTACCTTTAAATTAATTTTTAGTGGTGGCAAAGCTACATTTTACAGTTTACATTAATTCATTACTTGCAAACAGTTGCTGTTTTATTTTATTGTAAAACTGTGATGCATAACGTGAGATCAGAAGTTTAGTGTTTGCAAGTTTATTCATATTTTTTTTTCTTTTCAAATGATAGAAAAAAAGAGGATGACAAAGAAACAGGTACAAGGATTGACGTACTGATTAACTTTATTCCTGCAGTGTTACACGGTCATAACAAGAGTGGAGTCTTGTTTCTCCAGCACATGGTCAGACTGAAGTGATGCATTCAGTGGTGCTGGTGAGACAAAGGCCGCAGTCACAGCGCAGGGCCACTGGAAAGCTGTAGGACGGGTCCACACCGGCGGTGCAGTTGGGCAGCAGCACCGTCTCCTGTCGAGTCTCGTTATAGGTGCAGACGCGCTGGTGAGACTCGATGAACGGCGGCTCCAGCACAGGCTTCTGCAGTGATTGACAGGTGTCTCTCAGAATGATGTCGTTAGGACTACAAGGGCTTTTCATTTTATGTGCTGACATTGACTTTTTTTTTGACAGATTGTAGACTTAAAAGCATCTTTAAAGTTTAATGTTTAGTCACTGTAGATTCTTAAATTTTTTAATAATGTCCCAAATGTCTGTTCCATCCAAATGCAATTCAAATAGAAATTTGAGCTGAAGGCACTATTTAAGACTGCAGGCTAAAACACAGTTTTTATTTTATGAAACTGTCAAAGTTGTCTTTTGGCTTTTCATCAAGTGCTTTTTCAGACAAATGTAAATAAAACACTTTAAATACTCTTTGAAGTGTTTCTTTTATTGCAAGTTTTCCAAGTTGTGTAGATTTTGATATATATCTCAAGCAGCGTTTATGCCAAACTTCAGTTTTATTCAATTCATGTTTTTACAGAGGGATGTGTTTATACATAATTTGCCTGATTATATACAACATTGTATTCTACATAAAGTTATTTAGAAAAAAACAAAAAACTCTCTGGAATATGTAGTGTTTTAAAGGTGTATGTACAGTAAGTTTGACACCCAGTGGTTGAACTAGATATTGCATTCCTGGATCAAAACAAACGCAAGCGCAGATTGCAGATTGTGTTGTATATAAAAGCAAAGGCACGCGATTTTCTAAATTAAATATTAGCCGACACCTCGAATTGATATATAAGAAACAGCTTCTGTTTTTTGATGCTAAACAACAGAAAACGATCACCTCAGGTCCACCTCGTGAGCTTTATTCAGTGTAAATACTTACAATGTGAGTTTGAATACCATTTTACCTGACATTAATTGCCATATACTGAAAGCAGCAGTAGATAGGCTAATTCACCTCAGATCTTTGAACCATTTCAATTTGAACTTTAAGAACTGTGACTCAAAATCAACACATCGTCTTAAGCATCTACATTTAATAATGTTAAAATATGTATTAATTTGATTAAAAACTTAACATTTCATGAGTGTGTGCATATTCTGTGCTTCTGAATGGCTGTATTTAAATAAGTTTCCTCTGGTGCAAACATCCAAATTAGTTATCACTGCAAATCTCATTCATGTGTATTGTTAGAACACTGTTACAATGTAACCTGCTCACCCAACGTTTACATTTGTTATATTCATATTATTTGATTATTAATAACCTCATGTGGAAGTCTGCGTCTCATTTCAGAGTTTGCTATTGTCCACCGGAGGTCACATTTCGGTCACGGACATATGCTTTGAAACCCTTTCTGAATGAATGATAATTAACTAATGAAATATGCGATTTTACATGAAGGCAACCTGAGGCGCCGAAATAGAATGGGCTAAACTGGCGTTGGGCAAGACAAAAAACCAAAACAAAGATAGTGTTTTGGCACGTAATGCACATTTTCAAAGCAGAATAACTGACTTCAGCATTGTTTTTCAGCTAAACAATAATGTTCACTTGACATGCTTCTTAAATATCTGCGAACATATTATTTATGCTTTATAAAAGTCAAAAACTTACATACAACACCTTTAAAAAGTACCCATCTCCACTCTAAAAAAAGTTGAGCCTGATTTTTGTTATATATATACAAATTAGTGCATCTTTAATTAAATAATGCTTGTTAACAAATTTCAACAGCATTTTAAAACACTTTAATTTTTGTTTGTTTGTTTGTTTTTGCTAATCTTAACCGTAGTGAATCCATAATGATTAAATTATTTTACCCTGTTCATCTGCAGTCTTCACTCTAAAGGTGAATCTGTGTATTTCTCCTTATTTGCCCTTCAAACTGGAATGACCTCTTGATATCAGGTTTATTTAGTTAAATAAAGAAACATGGTTACATTAACAATTTAATGCATTTTAAACATTTTACAAAAAGAAGCATAAAAACACAACTGCATTGTAATCATTGTAAAACAATACTAATATATATATATATATATATATATATATATATATATATATATATATATATATATATATATATATATATATATATATATATATATATATATACCCAGGCTTGAGCAAATATCTCTACCATTTTGCTGATATTTTTCTTCCCTTTAATTTCCAGCAATCAGTCCAAGAGGTTCTCCTCTCTCTTAGGAGCTTAAGAGCACTAAAGGAAAAGCAGTTCAATTTATTTCGTATTTAGAAAGTGATTATTTGGGTCCAAATTAAGTTCTGTTCCAGAAGTGCTCTGTGTAATAACTAAATATAATTTCAAACACAATCAATAATGGAAATGCAAACTATTTTGCAAATTAAATATAACTTTAATATTATTAAATGGCACAGTTTCATGCTAAAAAAAGAAATAGCACACACACACATATATATATATATATATATATGTATGTATGTATGTAATAATTCTTAGCCTGGAATATAATCATTCTTAGCCTGGAAACCAAAATGTACATTGCATTTAAAGACATTTATGCTTAGAATAAATCTATCTGTATGGTGATAAAAATAATCTTGTTTTTTTAATTAAGTTTTTTTATGATCATATTCACAAATGTTTTTCTTGTTGTGAGTCTAAACACACTAATTTAATTGTAATATTACTTTTAGAAATCAACAATGTCAGCATTTACAATAAAAGTGCCTATATTTGACAATGTTTAACTATTTGAACTGCGAAACATGACTGCATACTGATAAAAGATTTATTATTATTATTATTATTATTATTATTTATTATTATTATTATCTTTATTATTATTGTTGTTGTTGTTATTATAAATTGCAGTGCTAAAGACCATTGTATAAACCTAATTCGATCTAATAGATAAAGAAAACTCTTTTAAATAATTCCATATCATCAACATTCCTATAACATAATATTTTCATCTAGACATTTTTATATCATCTCGATTAAGTACTGATCGTCTTGCAGGTGCTTATCTTATTCACTCTGTATTTACAGGTTAATAGGAAAGCAGTCTTACTTGCCAGGTCTCGCAGCGCCCCCAGCAGGCGTCAGTGGTGATGTGCAGGCCTCCGCATCCAGGCTTACGGGCCAGAAAGGTGAATTCTCGGACTGCACAGCCGATGAAACGCCGCAGGTTGAGCACTGAAGCCTCGGTATAAGCTCCACAACACAGCAAAACAGCCAGTGTCACACAGCACAGACTTACAGCAGAAAAACACACAGAAAGACACAACTCATGAGGTAAGAATGATGAGGTGTAAATACACTTTACTGTAGGTATACAGCTGAAACTAAATCAGGCGATTACTCTTGGTAAATGTAGCAGTTTACACTACTGTATGATTTTGTAAAATGTTTTTGAAAGAAATTGCTATTGAAAATAAAAATAACTCTAAATAAAAATAAATAAGTCTATTGATTAGGTGACTTGATTGTCATTTTATGTTACACTCTAAAAAAAAATTCCGTAAAAAAACGGTAAAATGTACTGGCAGCTCATTACACAAATATTTTACCGTAAATTAAAAACGGAAAACTTCTGTTAATTGACAGTGTGTCCACATTAAAAAAACTAAAAAATATCCGTTTTTTGACGGTTAAACTACTGTAAAATAACGAACCATTTTATAGTAATTTAAGGGTTTTCTATATAAAAAAACGGTTATTTTCTGTGTTTTTAAGGGTATACCAACAGTAAAAAAGCGGAACTATTTTGTGTTTTAATAGTATACCTACTGTAAAAAAACAGACAGATTCTGTGTTTTAATAGTATACCTACTGTAAAAAAACAGACAGATTCTGTGTTTTAATAGTATACCTACTGTAAAAAAACACAGATTCTGTGTTTTTTAATAGTATACCTACTGTAAAAAAACAGACAGATTCTGTGTTTTAATTGTATACCTACTGTAAAAAGAGGACTTTTTTGTTTTTTAATAGTATATATACAGTGAAAAAATGAACAGATTCTTTGTTTTAATGGGATACCTACTGTAAAAAAAATATTATTTTACTAATTTAATGCTCTTCAAGCAGCATAGAAATAGCAGTTGGTAAGGATAAACCTATACATATGGGAAATACACTACTAATGGTTTACCATAGTAAAACAAAACATGTATTCCATACTGTATGTGTAGAGAAGCAGTAAATAGTTTGTTAACTGTGAACTTACAATGATTAGTACAAAAACAACTTTGCAATTAAAACAGATTCTTTAATGAATACAAATCATTTGAATTCCAAATAGCTAGTTATACACACAATAAATACATATTGACATGTGAATCATACAGTGAGAAGTCTTGGCAAATAATCTCAAAGCAAATTAGTTTTAAATGTTAGCTTTAAGATAATTGAGGACAAGTGGGCAAATTACAAGTACTTTACATTAAGAAACCAGGTTAACTGCAAGATGGCAGGAAACAGACGATACAACTGGGTCTTCTTCCGCTCCAATACTAATACTTCAATGGCTGTAAAAAAAAAATAAAAAAAAAACATTACTAATGACATTTCACTTACAACTGGGGTAATTCCTTGCATGTCAATAGTTTACACAAATGAAAGTTTTATCATCATCTTCATGTCTCACTCTTGTCATTTCAAGCCTGTCTGACTGACATACTTCAACAGAACAAAATAGGAGAAATAGGAGCAACATTCTTTAAAATATGATATTTAGTGTTTTGCAGAGGAAACAAAGTCATACAGGTTTAAAATGTCAAGAGAGTAGGTAAATTATGAATGATCAATTATTCAGTTTTGGGTGAGAAATCACTTTAAGATTTTTCAAAATAAAGTGTAGGTACTTTTGACAATATTCGGAACAATAATGCAAGAGAGAAACAGTAATATAAACAAACTATGCTGGTAACACTATAATAACTACGGGCTATGATTCATTTATGAAGCATTAGCAAATAGTGAATTCATTATCTGTTAAGCATTAACTCTACAATAATAGATGTTAGCAGTTGGTTATAAATACAGCTGCAAAATTTGCTACAGCTACAGTTTAATAATTGTGTTATCAAACTTAAATGATTGATTTTACATTACTATTTATAGATTAAAAAAAAAAAAAATATATATATATATATATATATATATATATATATATATAATATTATATTTAATATTGCATTATTTACAAAATTTCTTCCAGTTGTGGCCTAATCTAAAGTGAGGATTATTTATGATTTATAAATCCTTATAAACGACAGTTAAACCTTGCTGAATAGCAGGAGTGCCAAAATATAACATAAAACTGGATAAAACAACAATAAAATAATTTAATGATATATTACGATGCAACATTTCAGTGTTATTTAGCTATGTTTAAACTGTACAGTAATTTTATTTTAGATAAGATTTATTTTTCATTTAATACAATAAAATGAATTTCATTTTTAGAATATAACTGAATCTTTAATTGTGATTTATAAGGCGATTTACAAAGCATAAACAATCCTCACTTTAGGCTACAAAACTGGATGAAGTTAACAAAAGCACTTATTAAAATAAGTATTGTATATACTTTATATACTTATTTTTTATACTTTATATACAAGTATAACAATTACTATTCATTCATGTATTTTCCTTCAGCTTAGTGTGTGCTCACACTATGTATAGTTGCCTTGAACCAGGCCGAAGCACTCTAGTCCTCCCTCCCGTCTCCCCTGACGTCCCGCACTCACATTGCATTCGAGCCTGAGCACTCTTACATCATCGATGATGCGCTGTTTAGTTTAGGAAGTGCTCTCAGCACGGAGGAGAATTCTTTAGTTATATTGTTTTAGTCGTTTGGGATGCAGTAACACGCTGTCAAGAATTTCGCCGAACAGATCAGCCACTTTTGATGTTAATAAACAATCATAAACTCCTTGTGCTGCAGGAATAGAAGGTTTGCTAAAGGCGCAGCTGTGGTGCAGTAAGGGGTTTGCGTTCATTGAACAGTAATAGTGGTTAATTTATCCAAATCAAAGTCCCTTGCAAACTGTCATAGATTAAAGACACAAACCCCTCACTGCACAACAGCTGCACCTTTAGCAAACCTCCTAGTACCTGCAGCACGTTGACTTTGATTGTTTATGAGCGTCAAAAGTGGCTGATCTGTTCGGTGAAATATTTGATTGCGTGTCACTGCATATTGAACAACTAAAACGATATAACAATATAAAGAAATCTCCACTGTGCTGAGTGAGAGCACTTGTTAAACTGAACAGTGCGTTATTGATGATGTAAGCATGCTCAGGCTCGAATGCAATGTGAGTGCGGGTCGTCGGGGGAGACAAGCACGCTTCCAGTTTCAAGGCAACTGTGCATAGCATGAGTACGCCCTTGGAAACACCCATACACACATTTACAAACACACTCATACATAACAGCCAATTAAGTTAATCAATTTCCCTATACCTTATGTCTTTGGACTGTGGGGGAAACCGGAGCACCCGGAGGTCTTCTTGCTGTGAGGCAACAGTGCTAGCCACTGAGCCACTGTGCTGCCCAACTATTACTATATGCCTGAATAATAAGATATATAAATGTTAGTTTAAATAGTTTATTAACCATTTACTTACACATTCTGAATGATTAGAAAAAAAAATACACCAACTATTCTTAAATTACTGGTTTGTAAATAATGCTATACTAAATTTAGTAATGAAAAATTAATCATTAACAAAATATAAAAACAAAATCATTAAGCACATTATAGATGTGCTTATAAGTCAAGATTACAGCATTTGCAGCTGTAGTTATAAACTGTATACTAAGGTCTGTTAATGTAGAGTTAAAGCTTAACAGAACTTTTTGCTAATGCTTAATAAATTAATCAATAGTGTTTAGTTATTATAAAGTATTATCGGTTTGCTTAATTACCTTTAAATCTTCCAAGGATTCTGAAAGTCTTTCTGGTCTGACAGGAATCGAAGGAGTTTAGATGGTATGTTTCTGCTTGGTGCACTTTTTTCTGCTATGGACCTACATTCTGGATAGTTACTCAGCATGCTCCTGTTGTAAACACAACAAACATGTATCAACTTACTTGTCTTATAAAAATGAAATAAACTTAAAAATGTAAAAACATACCTTCATATAAACTCCAGAGTCAGGGCTGCTTCCTTAGGCTACATAATGTTTAGCACATAAGAGACTAAACATGTAGCTCACCACAATTAGGGGACAGCTCAATGATCTTGTTATTGTGACTGTGGACTCTTCTTCTGAAAAAAAGAAAAGAAAAGTGAGTTGTGTGTTGGGTCTGGTACACGTCCACATGGAAAGAACCTATATAAACATATGGTTTAATATAGGTTTTGATTTAGGTTTTTGAAATATGTGACAAATATAAAATTGGCTGTTTTCCTATATTACATGTACATATATGGGTACATATATGCACACCTATATGTTAAATTATTAATATTATTAATAATATTATAAATATTATAATTATTATGTAAAATTATTCAAATACATGTCTGCTACATAATTTAAAAGAAATTAAAAAATATATATTTACTTAATCAAATATTACAAGAAATAATTATAGTGCAAGAACAAAAATAAGGCAAAAAAAAAAAACAATAAAGCAAAGAAAAAAAATGTAAAAAAATTATAAACCATTTTGTTTTACATTTCTTTCTTTTCCACTATCTTTATACAAGAAAGAATTGACCTTGAAAATGTTTCAGGAAAACGTGTAGACATCATAGCTTTCCATCTCCTTTCACTTATTTGCCATAGTTAAATTCCATAACATGCCAATAACATGTGATACAAAATTCAAGTGGCACATACATAAGTTTTTCGCATTTTTTAAGTTAGTTCTTACCCAGAGAGCAAACCTACGTTAAATTAACATTGAATAAATGTTAAAACATCAATCAAACTATCATTGAAACAACGTTAAAAAGTCACCACTGATTTTTAGGCAGTTTTCCACCCTGAAATAATGGTAATTCTATGATAATAAATAGACAAAACTGTCCCAAAATCAGCATTTATTCAACCAAAATTAAATCTCATTTTTTTACAATGAACCCAACATTAAATAAAATGTTAAATCAACCACACTATCATACAATTAATGTTGAAATTTAAAGTAGATTTTTAGCCAGTTTTGCATCCTGAAATAAAGTTATTACAATGACGCTAAATAGATTAAACGGTCACAAAATCAGCATGAAGGCCTGGCTCACCATCAAGATGCCCACATTGAAATTGTCTCTCTCATCATCAGGTGGCTAAGAGAGAAAAGAAAAGAGATTCAGCAGTGGGCCAGTTATTTCCTTATCACTTTAAACAGACATTACCAAAATAAAGAACTTGTAACATTTCAAATGATGCAAAAATAAATAATAATAATAAATAACTGCTTGGTTCATTTAACAGATTACAGTAGCAGCTTAAAAAACCCAGATAAAACACCCACATCAACCCAGTACTTTTTAGTTTGAATACATGTTAACAAAATTCAAAACTTACTGAAGCAAAATGTGTTCATGTAAACACTTAGTAAAAATATAGGTACAAGTAATTGGTTTGCCAAATAATAAAAATAAAAGCATCAATATCAAACAAAAACCCTGACCATTTTACCTCTTAAACTTGGAAGTTTACTGTCATCCCCTGTATTAGGTACAGATGGTCCAGCACAACTGCCTGAGTTCTGAAAGAGCAAAGACATTCTTGGTAAAATGACAATAGATGCAATGCTAATTATAAATCATTTTTTATTTTAATTTTTTGTATTATTTATAAAAATGCAGTACTGACCAGTCAGCATCAATTTTTACACCAACACACCTACAACAAAAATAACACTCATTCAGTTTGAAACATGCAGCACATAGTCTACTTTTATACTTTACAAACTTTGTGGATAATAAAAAAAAATGAAAACATTTAAAACCCCAGCTGTATTTTATTTCATTTGTCCATATTAATTCAAAGTCATTTTGGATTGAATGTAAGATTTAAGATTTTTATTTAGATTGCTGTGAAAATGTACCTGTACCTTGTACTTATAACCAAAATTACAGAACCTGGAAATCAACAAAGCAAAATATCAGTGAACCTTATATGTACAAAACACTTAAAACCAAACAGAAAAAACGCTGAACATTTTACCTCTTAAACTTCAAAGTTTACCGTCATCTCCTGTATAAGGTACAGAGGGTCCAGCACAAATGCCTGAGTTCTGAAAGAGCAAACACATTCTTGGTAAAATCATAATAGATGCAATGCTAAATATAAATCATTGTTTATTTTTTTGGTTAAAAAATGCAGTACTGACCAGTCAGCATCACTTTTTACACCAACACACCTACAACAAAAATAACACTCATTCAGTTTGAAACATGCAGCACGTAGTCTACTTTTAAACTTTAAACTTTGTAAATAACAAAAAAATGAAAACATTGAAAATCCCAGGTGTATTTTATTTCATTTGTCCATATTAATTCAAATTCAGTTTGGATTGAATGTAAGATTTAAGATTTTAATTTAGATTGCTGTGAAAATGTACCTGTACCTTGTACTTATAACTAAAATGACAACATAAACATAAAGCAAATCTTATATCATATATCAGTGAACCTTATATCTACAAAACACTCAAAATCAAACAGAAAAACCCTGAACATTTTACCTCTTAAACTTGAAAGTTTACAGTCATCTCCTGTATAAGGTACAGAGGGTCCAGCACAACTGCCTGAGTTCTGAAAGAGCAAACACATTCTTGGTAAAATGACAATAGATGCAATGCTAAATATAAATCATTATTGTTATGGTTAAAAATGCAGTACTAACCAGTCAGCATCAATTTTTACACCAACACACCTACATCAAAAATAACTCTCATTCAGTTTGAGACAGTCTACATTTAGACTTCACAAACGTTGTGAATAATAAAAAAATGAAAACATTTAAAATCCCAGGTGTATTTTATTTCATTTGTCCGTATTAATTCAAATTCAGTTTGGATTGAATCTAAGAATTTACCTGTAACATGTACTTATAACCAAAATGAAAGAACCTGAAAGTCAACAAAGCAAAATATCAGTGAACCTTATTTGTGCAAATAAAACTCACTTAAAATCTACATAAAAAGATTTCATTTGCGATAACACCATGTGTAGTTCACTCTATTATCAAGGTTTCATTAAAATAAAACTCCTGATCTCCTAATAGTAAAGAAAGTATTGTTTGCTATAATGAATCGAACTGACAATTAGTTTGAAGAATTTTAAGACTGTGGAAGAACAACTCATCTTTATATCTTCATATTAGCTGCGCTTGAGGTTCTTAAAAGTGAATAAATAAATATCAATGACAGTTCAACTCGACTACAACAAACATTTAATTGTGTGCTTTAAGGTACACGTTGTATTTGAGGCCGAAAACGCATGACAGTGTAAACACTATAAATACTTTTAAATGTCACACACGTACTGTATCACTCTGTTATCTCTGTACACACAAACACGCGTCGCGAAATGCGGAAGTTTTTTTTTCGTTCCATTTGGCGAGCGTTGTTAAATTCCATAACACTCTCATCAGTTCTTGCTTCTTATTTGCGTCTATTACCCCAGTTTGTCACGCGGGATGAATGAAATGTTCATGAGTTAAAGTGAAACTGCCGAACTGCAGTTAAAGTCAGGCATCCTGCTGATTTGATTCATAAGGGCACTTGTTTGTCAGACGGCTCACCGGTCAGGTATACATCCGCGCTAAAATATCAAAGTATGAAAGTCACCCAGCTCCCAACCCAACGTTGAGAATAGATTAACGGCGATATATTTTTTTTATCGCGCGATAAGTCTCGCGTTAACGCAGCACGTTAATGCTGATAACGGCCCACCACTAATAAAAACTTTACGAGTGTGTATTTCCCCTCATACCGAGTTACAAATGCCTCCAATTCACGCGAGTCTAACTTATAACTTACTTAAAAACCAGCAAAGCTGTTCCACTGAAACTCGGTCACACAGCCTTAATACGTCGGTCAAACTAAAGCTAACATTTGATAACGTCAGTAAAAATATGAAATTAGTCATTAATATGCAAACAAACACAGACGGTCAGGTGTTACGAGCGTTTGAAACACGTTAACGTTAGTGTTCATTAAAGGTAACGTATATCAACCAAACTACACAGTGACACAAACTTTAAATGCTATCCCTTGTTCAATGCACTGTACAAAGAAAACATTTATATTTCTATAAAATAATTAACATACCTTTTACACTCTTACAGACAAACTGACGTTTACCGTTAATCCAGTCAGGTGCAGAGGGAGTGAGTGGGTGATTGGACGTCACGCCACTTCCCGCGCACGGCAGTTTAGAAAAATACGGACAAACAACTGTAAATGAACAGATATCATATTTACTGATGAGAAAAACGCATAAAAAGGTAAAAAATCATTAGGTAAATGCTTGTTTAAATTACATTTAACCACTCATAGCTCAGTTTGATCTTAATGAAATAAAGTCTGATCTTATTAACAATATTAAACGTAATTCACTGCTGTACTTTCCATGGGCACTTCATAAAAGACAAAAATCATTTTAAATAACGATAAAAAGGTAATAAAGCAGTCTTTTAACTAAAATATTGTTATATGTTTTATTAATCGTACTTACCAGGGAAAAAACAGAGGAAGAAATATGTCCCGATGTCCATCAAACGCTGTCTGAGCTGCGATCCCCTTCCCACAATGCAATTCGAAAATGTATATAAACGGAAAAACACCCGTAATACGTGTATACGGAAAAAATCTGTTAAAATATACAGTCATTTAACTGTTATTTTACAGATTTTTTTTACAGTGTACACTGCATCCATAGCGCTTCACTTTTCCACGTTTCTTCATGTTACAGTCCTATTCCTAAATGGATTAAATTCATCTTGTTCACCTGTGGTAAATTCAGTTGACTGGACTTGATTCGAAAAGGCATACACCTGTCTATATAAGGTCTCAGGGTTGACAGTGCAAGTCAAAGCACAAACCAAGCATGAATAAGAATCAGTCCTCTGTATGTAAATAACTGTCTGGTTTAGCTCACCAAATCTGACCTTTGAAGAGTACATTGAATAGATTGGACTGCTGAGGGAATCATTACCCTCACTACTCTCCAAGAACTGTACTTATCCAGAGCGAGCAGAAGGGCTGCCAAAATCACTCTGGACCACTCACACCCAGCACACTGCCTCTTTGAACTGTTACCTTCTAGTCGAAGCTACAGAGCACTGTGTATCAGAACAGCCCGACACAGAAACAGTTTCTTCCCTCGGCAATCAATCTCATGAACACTTGACGATAGTAAATGTGGAACCAACATCAGTACTTGCTATACACTTTTTATACACAGATACAGGTACACATATTTAACAACACACTTAATATGCCAATTTGCACATACTGTAACAGCTGCACACATAACTTTGTATATAGTAAAATATCTGTACATACTTGCCAATTTGTATATTTGCATTCATTACTTACTTCTATTTTAAAAATATATTTATTATCTGTTTTTGTTCTACCTCTGTAATTCTGTTGCACTGTAGAAGCTCTGTCGTGAAAACAAATTCCTAGAATGTGTGAACATACCTGGCAATAAAGCTTTTTCTGATTCTGATTCTGAAGACAAAAGAATTGTCTGTTGACATCCGAGACAGGATTGTCTCGAGGCATAAGGCTGTGGAAAGTTACAGAAAATTTCTGCTGCTCTGAAAGTTCCAATGAGCACAGTGACCTCCATCATCCGTAAGTGGAAGATGTTTGGTACCACCAGGACTCTTCCAAGAGCTGGCTGGCCATCTAAGATGAGTGATCAGGGGAGAAGGGCCTTAGTCAGGGAGGTGGGCAATAACCCGATGGTCACTCAGTTTGAGCTCCAGCGTTCTTCTGTGGAGAGAGGAGAACCTTACAGAAGGACATCTGTGCAGCAATCCACCAATCAGGTGTGGGTAGTGGCTAAAAGGAAGCCACTACCCACCTGGAATTTGCCAAAAGGCATCTGAAGGACTCTCATACCTTAAGAAACATGGCTAAACCACTCATCACCAGGCTAAAACCATACAAACCTACAGTGAAGCATGGTAGTGGCAGCATCATGCTGTGGGAATGTTTCAGAGTGCTCTTGACCTCAGACTGGGGCGACGGCTCATCTTCCAGCAGGACAATGACCCAAAGCACACAGCCAAAATATCAATAAACTGGCTTCACAACAACTCGGTCAATGTCCTTGAGAGGCCCAGCCAGAGCCCAGACCTAAATCCTATTTAACATCTCTGGAGAGATCTGAAAATGGCTGTACACCGCCGCTTCCCATCCAACCTGATAGAGCTTGAGAGGTACTGCAAAGAAGAATGAGCAAAAATTCCCAAAGCAGGTGTGCCAAGCTTGTGGCATCACATTCAAAACGACTTGAGGCTGCAATCGCTGCCAAAGGTGCATCAACAATATTGAGCAAAGGCTGTGAATTCTTCTGTACATGATTTTTCAGGTTTTTTATTTTTTTTTAAATTTGTAACAATTTAAAAACAATCTTTTTCACATTGTCATTATGGGCTATTGTGTGTAGAATTTGGAGGAAATAAATTAATTTAATCTATTTTGGAATAAGGCTGTAACATAAAAAACGTGGAAAAAGTGAAGCGCAATGAATACTTTCCGGATACACTGTAAGTATTCTGACTATTTTTGAATTCATTTTAATGAAAAAAATAATTATTATTTTTGACTGAATTTGTAAATCATGAGATTATTTTCAAGATGTTCCAAAATGTCAGTATTTCAACAGTAACTTAATTTTCAAACATATATATTTTACACAACCCTGTTTTTGTCGTTGTTGTTCATTGTCAAACAATGATTTTCGTCTTTAAGTGAATTATTTCAATCCTTCAAAAATCTAAAGTAATAATACATTTTATTTTATTTTAATAATTAATAATTATTATTATTATTATTATTATTATTATTAAAGTAAATGTAACAACTGTTTTGATTTTTATCTGGGGGTCAGTTGGCATTTCTGGCGTTTCTTAAATGAGACATGAATGTTCTCCCTGCGTTCGCGTGGGTTTCTTCAAGGTGCTCCAGTTTCCCCCACAGTCCAAAGACATGCGGTACAGATGAATTGGGTAGGCTAAATTGTTTGTAGTGTATGAGTGTGTGTGTGTGAGTGTTTGCGGATGTTTCCCAGGGATGGGTTGTGGCTGGAAGGGTATCCGCTGCGTAAAAACGTGCTGGATAAGTTGGCGGTTCATTCCGCTGTGGCGACCCCAGATTAATAAAAGGACTAAACCGACAAGAAAATGAATGAATGAATGTTGTACAGTGTCACAAAAAGTATGCTGTGTTGATGTAAACATGCAAACTCCACACAGAAATGCCAACTGCCCCAGCCGGGGCTTGAACCAGCGAGCCTAATTGTAACAACAATTTGAATAGAATTACTGTTATCAAAAAGTTAAAAAATATTGTGAAGGGAATTAAAAATTTGCAATACTTATAATTTGAGTTAATGAAATATGAAATAAATAATAAAAACTGAAAATATAAATGAACAGAAAAACACCCAAATATTAAATATTTCATCTGTTTATATGCCAAATGTGAGCACTTGATATTTAAAAATGTGTTGTTAAATGAATGAATTATTTACAAGGCCGTTCTGTTTTATAAATAAACCAAACAATATGACACAAAGCATATTTTTAAGAATTTCTATGAGAAAAAAAAAGAATATGCAAGTATACTGTAAAATAGTCATGGCAGCATTTGGTTTTAGATAATTGTAACTTATTAAAATAAGTTAAACATGTTATAACTTATTATATTTTATATATTATTTAATTTATTCAATATTCAGTTCAATTTATCTTTGTTTCTATTGTGCTTTTACAGTGTAGATTGTGTCAACCAGTGTAACATAGAAGGTCTAGTAAATTGAAACAGTTGAAATTCAGTTTAGTTCAGTTTAGTGTGGTTTAATTTTCACTGCTTAATGTCCAAACACTGAAGAGAAAATCCAGCGATGCGCAGCTCCACAAGTCCCAACCATGTGAGCCAGTGGCATATATATTATATATTATATGATTTTATATTATACATCACATTATATAATTTTACTTAATTAAGTTAAGCAAGCTATTTTAAGTCAGTTTAACATCATATAAGTTTAATAGAATTTAAGGCAACCAGGATTTTTTTACAGTGTATAGTTAATAATTTGTTAATTTTTTGCAGGCATTTTGAGAATAACTTGTAATCCTTCAATAAAATCTAATATATATATATATATATATATATATATATATATATATATATATATATATATATCATCCAGATAATTTATTATCAGTTATTACTCAGCACTTTAATAAACGGCTACTAAAAATGAAGACTAGAACTATTTGTTTACTATAAGTTTTAGTTTTAATTTTAGCCTTGAAAATAGCTCATAATCGCTTATACATTTTTTCTCATCTTGTAATTAAAAAAAGGCATTTTTCATGAGTGAATATCAAGGGTAAAATAATCAATTAAACCTTAAACTCTTATGCGTTTTCTATAAAACAATAAAAAATAGTTTGTAAGTTTCTCACCCCTGCGCTCCAGACCTCAGAAGAGCCATTGCTTCTTCCAGTGACTGTAGTGGAAAGAAGCTGTATTGACATTTTTACTAAATAAAAGTAATTGAATCAAATATTAATAAAAGAATCCTCTCAAATCTTACTTGTATTTGTCCTTTTAGTTTCAGCAAAGCCAAAAAAAACCTTTATATGACAGAATCAGCTCACAAATCTCACTTCTAGTCCTGATATCAGCTCTTCTGAAGCGCTTCTGACTCTGAACTTGCACAAATCTGTAATTTATTAAAAACGGTGCTGCCAACCCCACCTAATACACACAGGGCTGTCTCTGTAGAGCAGGCTGCATTCAGCAGTAATAAAGAGACGTCACACAGACTCAAGACAAACAGGGAAGGAGCCGATGTGTTGGTGTGTGCGGAGACTCATCCAGACCCTCGGGCTCTGAAATCCGCACACGTCTTACCTGCTGCTCAGGTACATCAGCCGCACATCCATTAGCTTAATCAAGAGGAAAGAAGCTCTTTTTGTTCAGAGTCATCCACATGGAAGGAGAATCGGAGGAACCCTTATGCTTTAATCCATGTAATCATTTATTCATTCATCCATCTGTCTTGTGAGTTGTGTTTAGATCTGGTGGAGTCAGGACAGGTTAAATGAGACATCAGGCTCCAAACAGTCTTACAGTAACATGCTGGCAAAATAAGAGATTTTCTCAAAATGAGGCCTGAATCTTCATAATCTCTATAGACCTGGGGCTAGGATGACAGTTATGTTGGCATTTTCTTTTTTTAAATTATTATTAATCTACATTGTTACATAAATAAAGTGTAATTAAAGGGACAGTTCACTTAAAAATAAAAATTCTGTCATAATTTACTCATCGTCTACTTGTTCCAAACCTGTTTGAGTTTCTTTCTTCTGGTGAGCACTAAGGAAGATACACTGAATAATGTAAGGGGGAAAGCCATTGACATGTTGTATTTTTCTCTTTGAATTTCAATGGCAGCGTTTCTCCAACATTCTGTTGAAAATTTAGTTTTGTGAGCAGCAGAAGAAAATCTTTAACTTGTAGATCCACTTGAGTGTGAGTAAATGGGGAGAAAAGTTTGGTGAACTATCCCTTGTGTTTGGATTTCGTGAGAGTGTGATTTGACTGGGGTCACTTAAAGGTGCAGCATGTAAGCCAGATTAACGACCAAAGAACAGTCTAACGATCGAGCCTAAAGATTGATTTAAAACGTTTTCTAAAAAAATAGCAACTGCATATGATAGTAGGAATACTTTCAATAATAAAAGGAGTAGATTAGAATTGATTAAAAACCTCGAATTGATAAGAAATGGCTTCTATTTCTTGCAGCCGAACAACAGAAAACTAACGATGATCCCCTTCGGTACACCTCATGTGCTTTATTCAGTGTTAAATGCTAATGATGTGAGTTTGAATGCCATTTTATATGACCTTTATTCCCATACTACTGAAAGCAGCAGCAGATAGTTCACCTCAGATCTTGAAGATAAAATAAACTGTTTGAAATTGAACTTTAGAACTGTAAAATAATGCAAACCAACACATCTCAGTGATTCAGCATCTACATTTGATAATGTTTAAGAGGTTTAATATGTATTAATCAGATTATTACCCTTACCATTTCATGAGTGAGTGCATATTCTGTGCTTCTGAATGGCTGTATTTACATTTCTGTCTTTTTTCGTCTGGAGCAAACAACCAAATTGCTTATCACTGCAAATCTCATGACGTAGCGTAATGTTAGGAAACAGGGTCACAATGCAACCTGCTCACCTGATGTTTACATTTGTTATATTCATATTATTTGGGAGAACTATCCCTTTCCAAATGAATGCCAAAGTGACGTATAGTGATCAAGTTGGAAAAGACCAAGTTAATTTCAGTGAATCCACATTTAGGCCACTGTGTATGGTGTACAGTCATTTTAAATCATTTTAAAACACATTTTGTCATTTTAACACGTCTGTTAGAATTATTTCATGTTAAAATGTAATATGCATATGAAATATCTAAGCATAAATACACAGGCATATGTAAATTATAAAGATGTGATAATTACTTACATTTTTGAACTATTGTAATATTATTTAATTGTTTGTATTAATGCTTTATTATTAACAGAGGGCCTGTGCAACAACCCAGAAATACATTAGGATAATTTTTAACCCACTTCATAACCGCAACAATAACAGAAGGAAAGGCAATGAAACAAATCAAAAAGGTTATGCTATTTGAATCAATTTAATTAAGCTATGAAAAGATATATGTTACATTTATAAATATAAAAAACTATTATTAAAACGTTTAAAAATAGCTTTAAATGCGTATTGACTAACCTTTATCATACTTTTTGCTGAAACAATGTTGAAATTAAACTTAATTGTTTTGAAAACTTTAAAGGGGTAAGCCTACTATTTTTTTTTTTTTTTACAAAGACACTTTAAAAAAAAAAAAAAACTTTTGTTTATATTATTATAATGTCTGAATTAGGCATTCATTGTGGTGACGGTTACCTACAAAAAAAAAAAAAAAAAAAAAAAAAGCAACACCGTTACTGGGAATCACCGTTGTCCCCACCGAGCATTTTTATGTAGGCCTATAAAAGTCGTTTAATAAAAGTCCAAGCATACACATCTTGGTTAAAAAATTTGTTAAAAACTTGGTCTCTCAGTAAGTCTTATAGCCGCCTAATACTTCACGCCACAAGTGATCAAATAAACAGATCCGCTTACAGACTTCACATTTGAAATCGACTTGGTGTATTTATGGCATGTTTTTTTTTTTACCTAATAATAATGAAGTCGTCTTACACACAAAATACGGTTACTGCTGGTTATTGATGTATAGAGAGGAGTAATTTACTAGTTCATCTATAATCTTCCTTTAGGTCTGTGCGCCGCCCTGAGTGGTCGTTATAATTAGAGAGCCCAGCGCGCGCGTCAGGTTACATTCCCTCACACCCTCAGCCCGCCGCGCGGCCGTTTCCCCCGGTGAGCTCAGCTGGGAACCAGAGCGAAACTACGAGCTTCACTCTTTGCTACCCGCAGTAATATGAACTCCCTGACGATTTGTATTCGTCGTTATTGTAGTTGACGACGGGAAACTTTCAGCTCTGGATGTGCAAGTGGAGATTTGAAGACAGTTTCATATTTTGCCAAACATGTAAGTAGAACTGAAGTTCCACTGAAGACCCACCTTGACAGCTTTAAGGTCATATAACGCATAACACGCATTTATTCGGTATTACACTTTATAGATGATTATTTTTGTTGTTAATTATTGTTGTACTAATAGTGTTATATATTATGTTATAAAAATGCTGTTATGTGGAATAAATGCTTCAAATTGTAAGAATAACCATTGCCTAATAACTTACAACATAATTTTAAAATAACTTTAGTTGTTTCACTTTAAAATATAATTTTATCGGCACTCAAGAATGTCCATAAAGTCATAGGCTTACTGTAGAACTATGTGTTTGATGTAGTTGATAATATTGATATTGACGTGTCTGATATTGAGCTCTATTTGTAACACGTGCCCTCCCGCGCGAGCGCTATTTTGGGCTCGTGGAGCGCAACGCATATCTCGCGCGCAAAGCATTCGGTGTGTCAGAAGGTCACGCTGCTTATTCTAGACCATGCGCAGAACATTTCTGCTGCCTATACACGCATGTCTGATAAATAATCATTTAGTTTAATAAAAAATATTTCTATAAAGCTAAAAGTATGACAATTTTTTTTGTTAATTTCCAGATATTTCTGCAACGTGGATAAATAAAAATCGTGATCCCACATCTACCGGCTCTGTTAGAAATTGTGTTTTAGTCTACACAGTATTACACACTGTAAAGCCTACACGAGAATCACAATTAAGATGCACAGGCTTCTATTGGTATGCTATGAAACTGTTGTTTATTTAAAAGAAAAATAATTTTCAAGGAACATAAAGTAAGTATTGTAAATGTAATATAGATTAAATTGATCTATTATTAATACTATTATTGATGTTGCTGTTGCTGTTTTGGTTATTATTTATCATGGTTTACTGAATAAATGTCATTCAGTGAAACAGCAATATTATAATATTATACACTATAAAAAGTTGTGTTATTTCAACCCAAATGTGTACAGAAATACATTGCACATTTAGAACAAGTAACATTTTATAAAACATTAAAATAGTCATCTTTAGGATGATCTGACTTTGACCTTGTACAGTATAGCTATGGGGAAAATTAAAGACCACTTGAAAATTTTCTGAATGTATTTATTTTGGTGTTTGTTTTAGTAAAATGTTAATAATTGATTCACATTAAGGTCTGATTGTTTAAAATAAACATTGTCATTTTGCATGTTACAGTTGGTCAAAATAACACATTCTTTTCCATTTATGATTAAAAATCGACCACAAAATACTGATTTCTTGACTCTTCTGAAGGTAAAACCTTAATGTCATATAATATTACAAAGCTCGATTTAAAATTATAATGACATGTTAACACTTAATGAATTTTACAGCCTTTTTAGTCTTTTATTATATTTGTCTTTATATTGTGATAGTTATCATAACATACAAACAATTTATGAGTTTTTGACATTTCTCATTTTACACATAGCCAAAGCAGTCCAATATTATTTTTTAGTTGGAGTGAAAAAGTGAAAGTTTGTCTTTGGTTTCACCTTACAAACCTCAACACCACAACCTAAACAGTCAGTATACAAAATACTCTACATAAAAAGATACAATTGGATCTATAAATACGCTCATATTTCTAGAAGGCTTGTCTATGCATAGATATCATCCTGTTGGTATGTTTTGTTCTGTTGGTGTGAAATGCTTTAGATGCTGTGGTGGTCATTCTGTGTGGATGAAGTTTCCATTTACCCCTTTCACTTCTGTCATTTAGTGGGATTTTAAACTAATGCCACCACACTGCTTCAGAGATAATGCACACATATATCTTGATCTCTGCCTGGGAATGTGTTAATGGCTGCTGTGTTTTCATTCCTTACTATTATGCCAGTATGTGAGCGATCTCACTCTCTGTTCTTGTTCCTATGAGTGCAGCTCCGGATAGCACACATTCTTCCACTAGAGTCACGTTGTGCTTAAAGGACACAAATACACACTGTCACAGACTGGTCTAATTGAAGCAGTGACATTTTGTTAATTTAATTTATCCTTCTATTATATTAGGGTTGTTCTAATGTGTGTTCTAATGTGTGTAATAATGACCCTTTTAGAGTCCTGAAAAAGTGGCA